GGCGGGGGGGGGGGGGGCGCCCACTCCCTTAGGGCTGCCCCATCTCCCAGCCGCTCCACAGAAGGCACCATTTTCTCCTGGACCAGCCCAAGCGCAATCCTACGGAATGGACCCGGAGCCCAGGAGTCATTTCCAGAGCATTCCCTTCAGCACGACTTCTAATGCGTAATGAAACCTCAGTGACGATTCTTTTATCGAGATAGCCTTTCGGAACCCGTGGCTGGCAGGTCCCTGAGACCAGAGGGCTGACAGCCCAGAGGGGTGGGCGGGCGCCCCCAGGAAGGCTTCTCCCTTCGCTCACAGCCCTGGCCAGACCCAGCGGCTGGGTCCCGGGGCCTGTGTGAAGTGAGGACACAGGGACGAGCATGTGCCTTCCCAGCGTGTCTCTGGCTGAGGCCAGGCTCTGTGTCATCCTGATGCCACCCGTGCTGGAGTGAGTTGTGCTCCCTGAAAAGATCCACTCAGGCCCCACCCCACACCAAGTGGGAGAGCCGCTGAGCGCTGCCCGGCACTGGGGTCAGACCCAGGGCACACCCCGGCCCCGAGGGGTCACAGCACTCTTGAGGAGGCAGGACGGGGCCCAGGTTCACCCAGGTCCACCAGCTGGCCTTGCTGGCAGTGATAGCACCCGACACTCTGGAGCCCTCAGCCAACTCTGCGCACAGGCCGCCGAGGCGCACCGCTGGACGCGGCAACCACGTTCCCCGTCCCCACCCGGGCTCCGCGGCCGGATGCCACTCACCTTGTGAGCCTGGTCCAAGGCCTGCTTCCTGTAGTCCAGCTCCTCATGCAGGTAGCCCTTCTGTTTGCTGAACAGCTCCTGAAACACAGAAGCACCCATGTCTTGGCCCGGGCGTCCCGCCTGGTGACCACGTGCTGCGGGCCACGCGGCGAGGCGCCCGCCCACCTTCTCGCTCTCCAGGTCAACCATCTTCCGCTGCAGGGCCGACTCTGTCTCCTCGATCTGCTGCAGCCACTGGACACAGAAGGAGCAGGGGACGGTGACCACACAGGCACCAGGGCCATCCTGCCTCCCCTGCTCTGCTCCCTGAGACAGCTTGGGGGAGGCGGCGGGCAGGCCCCCCTCCACTCTTCCTGTGGGAAGGGAGAGCTGGGGGGGGGCCGGGCTGGGCTGGCAGCACGAGCTCCATGTGCCCAGCGTGCAGGCCAGGTCCAGGCCCCACCCCGCCGCGGGGTCTGTCCCTCACCCCTTCCCCAGGGACGGGAGAATGTTAGCGGGGGCAGTGGGAGCACCTGCAAGCTTGCCCGGCAGACTCGGGGCTCTTGCTTCCCCCAGTCCCAGGCCCTGAACCCTCATTGCTAGAATGCCGCTTCCAGTTGGAGGCCTGTGGGAGGGGCCGCTGACAGCCGGCCTGGCGGGTGCCGGGCAGGTTCCAGCTGTGGGGTGGGACCGGGAGCAGGGGCTGGGTGGCCCCCAGCAGAGGGTGCTGGAAGGCTGTGCAGAAGGCTAGTGGTCTTACAGACCCACCACATCTCCCAGCCTTCGTGGGAGAAACAGGCAGAGCTGGCGCCGGGGAAAGGCCTGGGTGAGTCTGCCATTTGCAAACATGCTTAGTGGCTGCCGTGTGACCCACACGTATGCGGGCCAGACCTCCCAGGAAGGACAGGGCTGGCGGACGCCGCACCCTGCCTCCCCGTGTCCCCTCCTCCCGGGAAGAGCTGTTTCCTGGGCTGAGCAGGAGGGGGACTGCAGGGAGCCTGACCCCTCCCGGAAGTGTCCACTGGGTCACTGTTACCTTCTCAGCCAAGGTCAGGACTGTCCTGGCTTGTATGACGACCACTTGCTCCTCATTGGTCAGATTCTGCGGCCCCAAACGGAACACACACAGCGTCAGGGTGGGGCCTTCCTGGGCAGCTGGGATGACTGACGGGTGCTCAGTGGGGCTGATGGGCCAGGCTACAGCTACGGACGCTTTCCTAAAACCCCCTCCCCGGAGCCTGTCACCTTCTAGTCTCCACCCTGTTCGCTCTGGGGCGCACGCCCCTTTGCTTCCTCGCTCATCCTCCCACTGCTGGTGGTCATGGTGGCCTAAGTTGGCCCATGGAGGCAGAATGGGACAGGCGGGGCAGCAGCATGCCCTCGCCATGTCTCCGTCCCCGCCTTTGTTTAAAGTCAGCCCTCTGCATGTGCAGCCCTGAATTACTAAAATGCCACTCGCACATGCGGAGCAAAGATAAATGTTCGTGGCTGTGAAATGGTCCCCATCCGTGGTGTTTCTCCCTTTCCTCTGCGTGTTTTGTTCACGTCTCGTCACCGGGAGCCCAGCTGCGTGGTCCCTGCAGGCAGGGTGAGTCTGGCTGTGGCCTACGAGCCTCCTTAGGGATGTGGGCACGTGATGTAGGAGCTGCTCAGACCCCAGCTGCCACCTCTGTCAGTGCCAGGGCGGGAGCTGAGCTGTCCCCACTGCTGGGCCCCGACTCGTAGGACAGCCAGGAAGAGCGAGGAAGGGCGTGGGGAGCAGAGGCTGGTGAGGAGAGGTGTCTGTGGGGTCACTGAGCTGGGGGTGACCCCCCACACCCCAGAACTTCCCTGATTCAGGGCCAGTCTACTCAGCAAGCCCCAACCATGGCCGTCCCTAAGGGCAGGAGTCTCTCACCAGCCTGCCAACCCCACAGTCAGGGTGGGAGCTGTGGCCAGCTGCTGTACCAATCGCATAGAGGAGGCTTGTCCACGGGGGCACACTGCGTCCCCAACTCGGGCGTGGTGCTGGGGCGGAGTCGGGGGCCCTTCCCCTCTCCTGCCTCCAGGGAACCGGCCAGGTGCGTGAGTGCCTGGGCTTTGGGGTGCATGTAAGTGTGTGTGAGTGTATGAGTGTGGCTGTGTATACATGTGAGTGTGTGTGTGATTGTGTATATGTGTGTGTATATGTGTGTGTAAATGTGCATATATATGTGTATGTGTATACATGTGTGATTATTATGTATGTGTGCGTGTGTGAGTGTGTGTGAGTGATTGCATGTGTATGTATGTGTGCTTACGTGTATGTGCATGCATGTGTGATTGTGTTATGTGCATGTGTGAGTGGTTACGTGTGATTATGTGTGTATGTATACATGTGTGATTGTGTTATGCGTATGTGCATGTGCGCATGTGTATGTCTGTGAGTGTGTGTGATTGCGTGTGTGTGAGCGATTGTGTGTGTATGTGTTTGCGCGTATGTGTGTACGTGTTTGCATGCACCTGTTTACCCAGTGTGAAGTGCACTAATTTGACTAAATGCCTTGCTCTTTCTTGAGAGTAGTGACCAGGACGGGGAGCCCAAGGTGTCGTGGGACCAGCTGTAGACTGTGTACTTGTTAATATATCCGGGAGGGGGAGTTATGGGATGTGCAGTGAGACTGCCATCCAGTACAGTCAATCACCCCATTGGGCAGCAGGCTCAACAAGTGCAGGATGGTGGATGGAGGAAGGAGGGAGGA